GTCATTTCACGGTCAGTCAGAGACCGGTATAATATTCTGGCCAAGAAGTGGCGCTTAAGAGTGAGGGAGGAAGAGAGCGAGAGTGGTGGTGGGGATGAAGAAATGACTGAAGTTGAAAAGCTGTTGGAGGAGTTGGTGGTAATGGAAAGGGAGTCTGAGATGAAAAAAGGGCAGAGGGATGAAGAGAAGAAATTAGTGGAAGGAGAGAAAAAGAAAGCAGTGGAGATGGGGGAAAGAGCCATGGAGAGGCTAAGACAAACCAAAAAGAGGCAAAAAGAAACAGAAACTGATGAGGGAAAAGGGGAGAAAAAGAGAAGAAGATCAGGAGGAGAGGCATTAGAGTGGTTAAGAGAAAAGGGAGACACCATGCGTGAAATGAAAGAGCAAGAATTCAGGGATAGAAGAGAAGAAAGGGAGGCCCAGAGGTCTCAAAATGAACAGTTAATGTTGCAGATACAGGCCCAAAATGAGCAAATGAAATTTTTCCAACAGCAAATGCAGCATCATCAACAACAGCAAAATCAGCAACAACAACAATTTCTAATGTTACAGCATCAGATGATGCAAGTTTTGTCGCAACAACTTTCAAAGAGAGATTAATTATATCAAAAAATTTTCAGTAAACTTTAATTAATACATTTATGTATTATTATTGTTTGAGTTTAAGAGTTTTGTATAATTATGAAACAACATTTTGTTTGAAATGTAACCTTTTTCTGAAAAAAAGGTAAAGGCCAATTATTTTTATGAAAGAAAAGTTTTGGTCAGCAGGCCTTCGTAAATTTAAATGTAATGCGAATAAAAAAGGGAAAATAACAATTTTCAATGTTGAATTCAAAATAATTTAATGGGTGCCTGTGCTACATGATTCAACTGCTTTGAAACTTCTTTCTCAAAGAGTACTTCATACAATCAGTACAAAATGTGTTTACCTGCTAAAGTAATTGGTATACTACGTACCATTGATACAGTGGCTGTAAATGTTACCCTGGGGCCAGGGTTTGGACACTTTTGAGGTTTTTGACTTTTCAAGAAATTCCAGTGAACCTTAGTCAGCAAGGGAACTGATTGGTTCCTTCCAAATGGCACAAATATTTACATAAATGTTACACAAGAATGACGAGTAAACAAAAACGCTTTGCACTCATTGAAAGCCGACTAATTTTCCACGATTCTCCGGGAGCCAAACCTAAATTCCATGACTATCCAGGTCCAGGAGGTGAAATCATAAAAATTAATTTCATGACTTTCTGGGGTTTCTAGGTCTCATATGAACCCTGCTACCGCATAAATGAAGGATTAAAACTAAGAAAAATGTTAAAATTACAAAGATGGGTGATGCCACCAAAATCTACACTTTTTTGAAAAAATCGCAAAAAAACAGTGACAAAAATTATTGCACTTTCTGTGCTGAAGAGAAATATCACTCAATCTACATGTCATTACTAACAAATTTTTTTAAATTTGTAATCCTCCACTAAGAGTAAAGAGTGAATATGTGTTGCCATGCCAATGAAAATTTCTACATCCCAACATTCATATAAAAAATTTCCATCGAATAAATGGCACAGAGTTGCCTTCAGTTAATAATACATTAAAAAAAAAAAATTTCTTTAACATTGTAAGATTGACAAATTTTACAGTACAAGAATACCATTCATGACTGATTCACAAGTTACACAAAGAAATTTTCATCATTTCATTGAGGTGACTGGTCAAGACAGCTGACTGGTTCCTTACTAAAAGGTTATTGTAAGATTTTGGACTTGACCATGCATAATTCTAAATTATAGCAGCTCACGATCAGTTGTTTTGAAAAAATAAATGAAAGTACTGAGGTATTGATTTATTCAGTTTGAAATATTCAGTCATGGCAAAGGAGCTCCTCACCTAAACTGAAGAAACATTATTTCTTTATCTTTTTATAGTCAGCTAATGCATAACCAGTTACCTCTGCTGATAGAGTGTGCAACTCTTCCATAGGCCTTACTACAGAATAAGACAAAGTCAAGTTATTGGAAGTAGTCCTGCAAAGAAGGTGGTTGAACTTCAAACTTTTCTGAGACAATGTTCCCATACAGACAGGTCAAGGCATTTTCCAAAAGGGCACAAACAATGCAAAATTTTCCCACTGAACTCAAGTTAATTTTCAATTGGCTTTTAAAATCAATGAACTTAAAATATTTTGTAATGTTACCAAAAAGCCACTCAACTGCAACTCTTACTTCACTCATAGCTGTATTGTACAAGAGCATTTGCGGAGTGAGTTGAATGTTTTTGAAAGGGGCCTGCAAGTGTACGCCCAAAGGATATGCGGGATCCCCATAGAGACAAAGAGGATCCCCATTATAAAATGCCACCCTCCGCACCTCATTCAGAATGCCCGATTGCTGGAGTATTGTACTATCGTGTCTTTTCCCTTCAAAGGGGCCATGAAGGTTTGCAATTAATCCATTTGGGATCACAACACCCTGAAATTTTATGGAATGGATTCTCTTGTGACCATTGTACATAACTCTTTGGTTTTCATGTGGCCTCGCTATCCCACGCACAGTTCCATCAATAAAACCAAAACAATTACTCAATGGAGCACCAAGACGGTGCACAGCCTCTGCATAACTGTGCAGCTGGTCAGGCTGCAAAAAGAACTGATCCCAGCTGCGTAGTCGATAGTTACGATTATCATTGATGAAATCGATCATGGTGTTAAATATTAAGCAGAGCTCTGTTGGATTCCTGCCAAAGCGGGGTACCATGTCTGTGTACCTACAAGGGTATGCCAATCTCTTCAACAAAATGCACAGACCCTCCATTCCACCACAAACGGTTCTTTGTTCGCAAGTAATTTTTTCTGGAATGCCTAAACATTCACATAATTCTTGCAGATCTTTCTTTGCAAATCTGAGCTCCCCCTTACACTCCACATCGCTCCACTCGTCTAAACTGAATCTAGGGGATTTCCAGTATGGGAAAATCGGTTTTGAGGAGTATGCGTCATAAAGAAGTACAAATGCATCATCGTCGATGATATCAAAGAAGCTGGCTGTTAACAGAGCATTGCGGACGGAGCCTAAGCCACCACTAGCCATGATCTGAGATATGGAAACTCACGAAGGACTCGCAATACAGAGCTCACGAAAGCCGGTTTCACGAAGACAACACGCCAT